GGCGGAGCGGGCGGCGGGGGCCAGGGCTATTACCACCCGGCCGGGGGGAGCCCCGCCGCAGCCTACCAGCCGCCGCCTCCGCCCCCCCCCGCGCCGCCTGCTGCTGCCCCCTGCGGCGGGATCGCCTGTCACGGGGAGCCCGCTAAGTTTTACGGATACGATAACTTACAGAGACAGCAGATTTTTACGACACAGCAAGAGGCCGAGCTGGTCCCATATCCTGACTGTAAATCGTCCAGTGCTAATATTGGCGAGGAACCAGACCACTTAAATCAGAGCTCGTCTCCTGCTCAAATGTTTCCCTGGATGAGAGCACAAGGTTGGGCGCAGTCGGGATTTGCTTCCCTCTCACGTCTGAGACCTCCACTTTTTTCTCCCCACCCCCTCTGCTTCCCCTCTCTTTGCCTCCCTTGATCCCTTCCTGGCTCTATCGCCCGCGTCCTGCAACCGCGACGGCTTGTGATAATAAAATCATACAGTAAGAAGCCCCCGGTCTGCGCTTCCCCCGCACCCCCCTCCGCCCCGGCAGAAGAGGCTGAAACGCTCTTAGCAGGCACAGGGCATAAATCAAAGGAGGCCGGAGCCGGCTCCAGATTAAATATGAATTGGGATGGGGGTGGTGGTGTGGGGGAGACTTCCAGTTACCGGATAACAGTGACCAGTAAGCGCTGGGACGGAATGGAAATAGAGGGGCCGATCCTGCCTGCAGCTCCTGTCTTGCCCTGCCCATCACCCGCCCGGGGTAGTCCCGCGCGGCCCGAGCAGCTCACCTAGGCGCTAGCCCAGCCAGCAGGATGTAGCTCGTGTTCACCCCCCCCCCCCCACCTCTTTACTTTGCGAAAAAACCCCAAAACAAAACAAAAAATCCCAAACAAAACCCCGGTGTGTTTTTGTTTTAATCAGCAGCTCCCGGTAGGAGGAGAGGAAGACAGACCTACAGCCGCTTCCAGACTTTAGAGCTGGAAAAGGAATTCCTTTTTAACCCTTATCTGACCAGGAAGAGGCGCATTGAGGTCTCCCACGCACTAGGACTCACCGAGAGGCAGGTAAAGATCTGGTTTCAGAACAGGAGGATGAAGTGGAAAAAGGAAAACAACAAGGACAAATTCCCGGCTTCCAGGCAGGAGGGAAAGGAAGAGGAGGCCAAGAAAGAAGCACATGATCGGGAAGAGGACAGAGGCGAAGGCCAGAAGAACTGAGGTTCTGCCTCTCAGGTCAGGAGGGAAAGACTGAACTCAAAGGCCGGCCCGAGCTCGGGCTGCGAGCTCCGGCTCGGCTGCCTCGCCCTCTCCGCTTTCTGTCTTCGTTTTCGTACCCTGCGTGGCACGATCCCGCCACTAAACAGCTGGAAATCCGATACCAAATTGGTAGTCAGTTCTTTTTAATGAGACGTTTCCGACGTGATTGAAGTGAAACTTCCCCGTGATCCGCACCCACACGCGCAGCTTCCGCGAGGCTTTATTAATCGAACAAGTGCACTTGTGCTAGGCTAAACCTCCTTCCTTTTTCGTTCTTCTCTTACGCTGAATAAATTTAAAAAAAATAATAATTTCTTTGGGGGGTGATCTTAGGGAAATATTTACCTTCTATTACGGATATTTGATTGAAATAAACGAAACTTATTGGCACGCACTGCTAAACTGTTGTAATTCACTGCCTCGCTCTCCTCCCCGAGCCCGGCTGCCATTCCCACCCCCAGCACCCGCACGCGACCCCAGCCCTGGCACCAGCCGCTGGGGCTCCCGGCCGTCCTGCCACGGCTCTCGGGGCGCTGAGCCCGGTGTCGCTGCCGCTGTAGGCCTGGGGCCGGGGTCAGAGCGGCCCTGCCGGTGCTGGGGATTCACTCGGCGGCAGGTGAAGCCTGTTGAAAGCGACTGTCCCGGGCCGAGCCCCTGCTCCTGCTCCCATGTCACGCGCGGGAGACCGGGGGCATCGGGCCCTGCTTGCATTGCCTGCGGCCCAGCGCCCCGCCCGCACCGCCTCCCCCTCCACCTCCCCGTGCCTTGCGCGGCCGCCATATATATCCGCGTGGCTCCTGTGAGACCCTCAGGCCTACAGCTTGGGACCTCTTCTCCTGAAGCGCCGGGCAGCGAGCCTCCGAGCCACCCCAGGCCGGCCCCTGCGGCCACTGCGCTTATTTTCCATGAAGCAGGTCGTGCCTGCCTGGCCACAGAGAGGAGTCGGCAGGCCGATCGGGTTTATTCCCCTGCTTTTGTTTCATAAGAAACGGGAACGGAGGGAGAAGTACGCAATGCCCTGCTAAATTCAGCTCTGGTGTTAATTAAGAGCCTTCAGATTTGCAAATGAACATCCGTTAAGGGATTGAGCCCGACTTTGGATGTAAGGTGCCCTGAAAGCGAAGGAGAAGCCGGGGTCCCCCCAGTGGGACCTGGCTGCTGCTCTCCTGCTCCTTACAGCTGCGGGGCCCGCCCTGCCTGCATGCTGTCAACGGGCAAGTGGAAATCTTTTCTTTTTTTAAGCTCAGAAAAGCAAGGGCCACAATAGAGGGCTTCTGATGCACCCGGGAAACTAACCCTTTCCCCAGAACCAGCCCCGTTGTCTTTATAGGGCTGGTGGCACCAATACAGATTGCTCAGGTGAGTAAATAAGGCTTGGTAGGAGCCGGCCCTAAAGCATCACACCTGGCGGCCAGCGAGAGACGGGCCGTTTTCCCTCACCCGGAGCTTTTCGACTTCAGGCGTCCCGAGGCCGTTTCACCTCCCAGGTTTATGCTCCAACGACCGCGGGTGACATACGATATACGCGAGCTCTAAGAAATCCCGAATATCTGCCCCCCCCCAAGTGTCACACACACAAGCGTGTGCAGACGCGCTACGTGGCGGCTGGGAAATAGGTGCCGGGAGAGAGCTGCCTCTATGCGCTTGAGCGCTCCCGGCCTGGGGCGGCCCAGAGCAACGTGTGTCCGCGCAGCCGAGGTTTCCCGTGGGCCAGGCCGCG